GTTGCTGAATGCTTCGGAGATGATGCTGTGAAGATGAACTCAAGCCATGTTTCCTGAAACCCAGCAAAACACTCTTCCGGTTCGATTCTGCAGCCCACTGGGAGTACTGGCACACCCAATGACTAACAAGAAATGACATACATACAGCTCTGGTCTAATTTTATACAATACATCGGCCACCCTATGCACTCCACTGTCCCCGCAGTGTTCAAAGAGATGTGAATGCGTTTGATGAATGTTGTTCTAGCACTTACTCGAAAACAACATGTGAGATGAGAAAATGGAAAAAACAGCATCGCAATTAATCTTACATAAAACCACTAATAACATTTCAATGTGAATAATTCACTACAATGCAAACTATAAAAATAACAACACACGTAAATGCTAAAGATGTTCAAAATATGTATAATAATACTGCTGCTTAAACTGGCTTTTCAAATCTAGTTCATTTAGAGATGCCCACAAAAATAAACAGTTTGAGTTCAAGCAGATTCTGGAATGCTTTTGGTGAGAATACAATCTAATAGTGCCAGGTATTTACACAGATTTTATGATTCGATTAGATTCCAATTCACAAGCTCTTGATTTGATTTAATATTGATTAATTTGGATATATTTCAGGTACAGTAAACTACCCTGTCAGTTGATACATTACTATGATACTATAAGGTAGGGCTGCACAATAAATAATTTAATCGATTATTAAAGCATAATCTTCTACAAATATTTTCCCGCTGATTATTTATCCTAAGAATGTTTCATTTTATTTTTTATTTTGCATTGGTAAGAAGCCTCCACAAGCTTTCATGGTTGCGGTGACCAAATGTCAATAGTTTAAATCCCCCAATCAGAGATTTTCTCTTAAATCGATAAATTTTCTGCCAAGTGGTTTTACCGAAACTTCCCAACCTGGCAACCACACGCACATGCTCTCTCTACATTATGGAAGTACTGTGTAAGTTGAAACTTTGTTTCATTTCAAATGCTTATCGCGATTATTGCATAGAAGGTGCGCTACAAGTAATGCTTAGTGATTTTTTTTTTCACGCATCAACTGAAAACAGCATAGATTGAAAGATATATCTTGGGATTTAAAATCGATATTGGTTCATCAAAATGGTTAATCAATATTGTCAACCAAGCCCAATCTATCCTATAGTTGACCAAAGAACCAACCAATATCCCTGTTTAGTGTTGTCAAATGTACCGATGTCAGAACTGAAATGTTAAAAATTTAATGATACCAGCAGTTCCCGCTAGCATTTTGAGCGCTGTTGAGTGGATTCTTAAACAGCTCTGATTGACGCGGTTTTCAAACGCACCCATGTGTATCTGTGTAAGCACTCGGTGAAGAGCGTGAAGCGATGATTATTGTAGCCAATCAGATATATCTGTTGAGTGCATGAACACAATGACCAATCAGAGGTGTTTAAGAATCCACTCAACAGCGCTCAAAATGCTATTGGGAAAAGCTGGTATCATCACATTTTTAAAATTTCAGTACTGACTGGTACCGACATCGGTACTTTTGACAATGAGCAATGAGATAGACTGATAAACCTGGAACATAAATGTAACTAAAGAGGGATAATGTGACTTTTATCAGCAAATTTTGGTTTGCGATGTTTGAAATGTTATTCTGACCCTTTGACCATGATGGTGCCAGACTTGGTGGTTCCACTCTACAACAATCTCAACAAAAATGCACTGACAAACTAGCTTATATAACGTTTATTAACAAAAACGAATAAAATGAGGCATGGCTTACACCACATGCTGTATAATATATTGACTAATAAATTACAGAACTTTTAGTAAACACTGAGGAATCAAATAAATTTAAAAAATTAAAAGAAAGCCTCCATAGTGTAAGGTAAACAGCAAAGACAACAGGCTTTTCAAAATGAAAACAAAAAAAAAAGTAAAACTGAACTGGCTGTCGGTGACAGTGCTTGCATATTTTTTCCCAAGGAAACCAACATGTTCATTTTTTTTTTAAGAAGTGGTCTTTTACTTTACTTTCGCTTGAAAACCATATCCTCCGTCCACCATCGTGCACCTTTGCGCTCGCGCTGACGCGGCGAGTATAAACCAGGCTATACAACCACAGCACTCGCACTGAAATCGCCTCTCTCAGTCTCTTCACATGATCAGTGAAGTCTGACTCCCGCTGCACTGTGCTGCGGCTCTGCAGCGTGCACTGTATGGAGCAGAGCAGATGCTTTTTGGAGCAGCGCAGACCATGCACTCGCACAAATGTGACCACATAAAATTTTAACTCACACATTCTTAAAAAACTGTTGCAGTCTGTTGCAACTGCTGAAGGACATTCCCTAAACTTGCAGGGACTTTATGAAGCCATTGAGTCTATACTGAATAAAATCCCTATGGAATGTTTCCAGTGCTTCTCAATACAAGCCTCAATACAAGCCGTTCTTGAGGAAAAGGACCTTCATTGTATTACACCAAATAATGTGACTGCTCAGTGTATTTCAAACCACGGAAATGGGAGTTAAATCCAATTCCACGGTCTCTGATAGACAAAACAACCATCATTCCTGGAGTGGGAAAAAGATCATGTCCTCTTAGAATCACAAACATAAATCAGTAAGAATTCATAATGTTTAAAACAACAACTAATGTCAGGACTGAACCAGACTGCGTAACCTGTTGGCTGACCAGAGACTCAACCACCTGCTAGGAAGATACTGAACCTGCGCTTCATTAGCCGATTCCTAGATGACTGTTTAGATTACAGTAACTACAATCAATGGCGGCCACATCTCAGCAGGTGAGTGTAAACAGACTCAAAATCAGTCCTCACAGCGAACAATGAGCCTCTTACACTGAATAGCCAATGTCCTCTATGGATCTGATGAAAACTTTTTCTACGAAAACTTTTTCGTTCTGTGTGTGACATCAAAGTACAGCGAGAGCGATTAGACAGCATTTTTAAAATGTTTGTTTTGATGTCAAATAAGTCTTGCTGTTTTGCTTTTTTGTTAAAGCAGTGTTGCTGTTATAAAGTTATACTGCTACAGTTGTGTTGTTGGGTTTTAAAACAGGTTTGATTTTGTTTCTTCCTTATCACTCTGTATTTACAGGATTTCACTGTACTGTATTCAGTAGGTGTAATGTATTCTAAGTTGCTTCAGAAGTATTGCAAGTACTACGTACAACAATAAAACAGTGCATTGACATAAAAAAGGAAATTTACTTTTGGTACTTAAGTACTTTTAAAAGCAAGTACTTCTGTACTTTTACTTAAATAAAAATCTGTCTTTACAACTTTTACTTGTAATGGAGTAATATTTGACCAGCAGTATCTGTACTTTCACTCAAGTAATGGAGTTGAGTACTTTGTCCGCCTCTGCGTATCATAAATACATTGTTATCCAAGGATATTGTGTAACCAAGCATATTTCTTTGGTTCACTTACACTTAAATGACTAATAAAACAAGAAAGCAGAGGGAGCACAGTCTGTGTTTGGCTCAATGACAAATAAAAGTGTCTACGATGTGCCAAAACACATGTGCCATGTTCTCAGAAATGTCCTCTTTGTAATCATGTTGGTTCATAAAAGTTTTTTAAATTATTTAAAAAATGTCATGTAGTGTAACCATCAATTTTTCTTTACACCTTGAACACATGTGAGTGTCCACAACTTAATCATTATTTTGTAAAACATTTTTAAGTATTATGAATTATAACTCCTAAATAACATTTTGGGAAGTCGTGCCACATGACATTTTACAACCTTGTCATGGAAAGGTCAAATTATCGGATATTTTAAGAGACTTATTGACCTTGACACACAGTCTTCAGATTCTGTAGAGGGTCTCTGTATTATATCGCATTATTTCCTGCACTTTTTTGCACTTTGGTAGGAACCTATGGTTTTTTTTTGGGGGGGGGGGGTCAAAAGTTTAAAAATAGCTAAAACAGATTAAAATAATAATGAAAGACAGTCACACTACTGAAAAGATTGTTTTTCTCTTCAAGAATGTAATTCCTTTTCTTCATTATGATACATGGACAGCTGCATCACCTTTGTGACTTAATGCTGCACCAACGTTGGAGACTCTCAAAATATAAAACTATCAAAATTAATCTTAATTGAGAAACTAAAAACAAGCTCGTCAGAAGAGGTGTACTTTATATTAGAGTTGAACCTTTAGTTTATTTTTAAATAAATTAATACATTCTCAGAATGATATGCTACTATAATGTTGTGATAATTTATAGGATGAAAGAAGTAGAATGCGCAGATCATCTCAGTCCTTTGATTTCACACAAAAGTCAAGAATTACGCATTACATCTTGATAAACAAGTAAACAAAGTCAACCAGGCCACAGCCTAAAAGATTGAGCTGGACTTTGTTAGCTTTTGAACTCAAGAACCAGGACAACTTTAAAGCCACTGTCACTGAGGAGATGTACAGCATGTTCTTCTCCAGCTCAGATAAGCAAATATTTGGTCCAGAGTTAAGTTGATTTGTGTCTGTTAATTGGGCCAGAGTGTGTAGAGCAATTGATCACACAGAGGCACAGCAAAGCACTTCTGCACGCCATTTAAGAAATGGACAGGACATGGGCTTGGAATTCTCTAATTAGAGCAAATGGAGGCGACTGGGATCAACCTTTACGTAAACAATAATTATGCATTTGTTGACAAAAGAAAAGGCTGATATCAGAACCATACGAGTTTCCAAGGATGTGGGCAGACGCATTCACAGATTTCAGGAAAACAAAAAAGTAAAAAAAATTTATTCATATTCTCCAGCAATGTCACATTTAATCTATTTAGAATCAAGTGGGCACAGCTGACCAATGGCAAAAACTGAAAATCCATCATAGAGAACAACTAGGAAAAACAAAGAGGTAGAATATACAGTTTTTTTTCTGTTCAGCTACTTCCAGAAAGCAGCTGTTTATGGATAAATGACTTGAGTCTACTTTTGGGTTTGTGTTTTCAGAAACAAGGACGACTCCTTACCATCTCCACACCCTGGGGAAATACCGTGCCATCCCAGTCCTTTTTGGGGAAGCGCTGAATGATCTTGCCACATCCTTCACCAGACCCTAAAATTTATATATATAAAAAAAAATACAGAGTATTAACTGAGATGTGCAATTTCAGCACTGTTTTTCTGAAAATGACATTTTCAAAACAGCACGAACAGTAGTATGGGGCATATCAGGACAATCCTGAACATTTAAAAAAATACTGTTAAATGTGATCACAATTCCAGGTTTCCTAACTGGCACAATCACTCCTCATGCATTCCTTCTGGTCTTTTTGCTGTCCAAAAAACATCTTTCCTGGCCCATTTTTTGTTGACAAAGAAAGCAGTGTGTGCACAGGGCCAAGACGGTTTCGTCAATTAGCGTTTACTAGTGTAAACATTGTAATGTGACAATACCGGTCCTTATGAACACAAATACCCCTGGCAGTAAACCAAAAAAAGAGAATGTAGCACATTTTAATGGAATAGTCAATAAGAGGTCAAAGTGACCAAGGCTATACTGATTTAAAAGCAAATTTTAGGCTTCATACCTTAACACAGATGTGGCATTAAAACATTATCAAACACTCAGTTAGAAAAATGAACTAATAGATATCATTCTCCATATGCTTATCTGGGAAATACATCCCTGCCTGTGTTTTTGATAATATCTGGAACAGGGAACTAGAACCTGGAGTAAATACTGGGTCAGGGGATGATGGAGATCTTTAAAGTTTATCATAATATGATTTTGGAAAGACCACTGACAATATGTTATTACAGATAGGCAAAACAGGCCAGATATGTACTGGATGAAAGTATTGCTGGACTGTCACATTTTTGGACTAAATGACTGATCAGATGACAGACAACTTCATAAAGATATCGCTCTTGGAAATGGGCTGTTAAAATTTGAAAAAATACAATTTGACTGTTTTGGAAAATGTTTGCCAAGATGTGTGAATGTGTGTATAATAGAAAAACTGAATCCTAATGTGAAATAACATTAAATGGATAGTTCGCCCCAAAAATGAAAATTCTGTCATTATATATTCACCCTCATTCCGTTTCAAACCTGTATGAATTTCTGTGCATTCTGTGGAATACAAAAGATATTTTGGAAAACGTCTCGGTGTTTGTTTGTTTTTGTTTTGCTTTGATTGTATACAGCAATAGTCAATGGGGTGCAATGAGGGTGAATAAATTATCACTTTTGCGGAAACTATTTATCAAAAAAAATAATACAATCTACAAAAATCTTCTCTTTGATACAATCATAGAATTATTTGTCACAGACATGTCGCTTTTTTTCTCGGAAAACAGTAGTGCTGAGAGTCAACCTGCATCTAGATAAAATCATAGCTTTAAAAGTCAAAACATGGGCTTGAGCTACACTAAACAGACTAAGTGCCTCTCATGGGTAAAGATACAAGCTCTGTTTTGATTCGCAGGGTCTCGGATTCCCAGTGTCATCAAACACTTGACCTGCCAAACCAGATTAGAGAGCAAGGATATACAGATTATGGATTAGGGTAGGGCTGTGCAAAAAATCGAATGCGATTTTCATGCGCATCTCGTCAGTAAAGGCGCTCCTGTGATTAGTAGTAAATCTCCAGCACATGCTTTCAGATGGAGTGGCAATTAATACACAGAGCCGTAGTTCATTGACAAGCTACGCAAAATCGCGTTCAAAATCGCAGGTGATTCATTGCCGATTATGAACGCGATTTTGTGTAGCTTGTCAGTGAACTACGGCTCTGTGTAGTAAATGCCGCTCCATCTGAAAGCATGTGCTGGAAATTTACTACTAATCACAGGAGCGCCTTTACTGATGAGATGCGCATGAAAATCACATTCGATTTTTGCTCTGTGTAGTAAATGCACAGCCCTAGATTAGGGATATACATTCATACATACAAATTAATGAATATAACATGAATATAATACACCTAAGCATAAAATCTAATATATATACACATGCGATTTATCGTGCAGCCCTATCTGGAGTATAAAAGAAGATACTGAAAAATATAAAAAATGTGACATATGAAAAATGTATTTTCCATCCAATTAAAGTCAAAGGACGCCATTTAGTTTTGAAATATCTTCTTTTGTTTTCCACAGAGAAAACAAGGTTATTTGAAATGACATGAGGGTGAGTAAATGATGACGTAATGTTCATTTTTGGGTGAACTATCCCTTTAACTGTTTGTAATCTATAGACACGATAATGAAAATTGTCTTCAACGTAGGGCTGCACGATTATGACAAATTTTAATTGTCGATTATTCCCTTGAAATTATAATTGCAATTATTAATTATGATTATCACAATTTACATTTAATGATGTTTATACCATTGTTTGATGCAACTGCATGCCGTATTTTTTTTATGAAAATAAACAAGCTGAAAACACTCTAACTGAAAAACTTTTAGTGCTTTTCTATAGTATTAAGCCTCAAATGTCAACTATACATTAGGGCTGGGCGATATGACGATATTATCGTATATCGACGATGTCTCGTAAGTATCGCGATGTCGATGTCAACAGTCAGGTAACAGACGATTATCGACATTATCGGGAAAAAATGACAAATGATAAACCTAGTAAGTTGTAAAAAATATTTTACATAGCCCCATAGTCACCATACAGGTCTTTTTGCATGCAAGAATGAAATAATTTAGTAGGAGAGTTGGGCATTGAAAAACGATTCCAATTTCGGAAATCAGATCAGATGCATAAGGTCAGGAATCAAATTACTTGTTATAAAATTATACATTTCAATTCTGCTTCTCGATTTCTGTATGCGCTTTTATTGTGATTTCAAAAGATTAAACTACAATAAGACGAAATAGAACGCACTTCTGCACTCGCGTGCTGTTTTCTGTGCTGCACACACACACAAAACGCACGCACAAAAGCCGCCTCTTATATACGCGAACACTGGACTGAGCTCTCTTTCTCGCATTCTTACATATTCGAATGGACAAATACACACAGAATTATATCAAAATATCCCATGAATACAATCGGTCTTAATGCCCGGTTCAGACTACACGATTTTAGCCCGATTTTGCCACGATTTGCTTGACGTAGGGTGTCGTGGGGATTCGTAAACGACAATGGGCGTCGGGA